TGGACCCCCAAGACCGCCCGGTGCCGGAACCGGCGGACCGGGCGGGCGCAACTGTGTTGAAACCACCTGCCAATACACGAAACATGAAACCGATGAGAACAGGGCGTGCGAACCGGCCCATCCTCCACCCCCATCATCTCATTCAAGCATATCGCACATTCTTCATCCCCCAAAACCTTTTTCTTCTCCTCCATCAAACACATCTTCATCCTCCTCTCCCGCAGATTCCACAAATAATCCATATCCATAAAAACACCCTCTTCCCCCAGCCGATTCACCTCCACCGAGACATCCACTTTTAGGGCCTTCATCCCATCAACCCCACCGTACTCCTGCATCAGCGAAGCCACGGCGTCCACGATCATATCCCTCTCCCTCTCCAAATCTTCGGGATCAACCATTATATCCATCGGAAGGGGTTCGTTCCTCTGGATGAAATTTCGGATGGATAAATTATCTTCCAGTTCTGCAAATCTGCGCCAACCTTCGTTTGTGATGCCGTCGACTCTCTCGCCATCGATGTTGTAGAAGAAATGCAGGACGAGAAATGGATGTCCGGTGAGGTCGCGGCCGTTTAAATCTTCAAAAATTCTATTGTGCTCGATGTAGATGAAATCAGAGACGTGGAACATGGAATCCATCTGTTTGTTGGGAATTATCAAACAACGTGTGCGTGTGCGTGTGTGCGTGTGTGTGTGTGTATATATAGATTTGGAGTGTGGAGTCGTGTTGGTTAGGAAACTGTTTTATAGGTGACGAACGTCGTGGGATGCGGGCCAAGGGAAATCATGCGGATTGGCCTGAATCTCGGTTCCGGTTTCAGATATTTCGGAGCTATTTTTAGAAAGGAGCTATTTTTGGGTTTGATTTGTGCACAAGTTAATAATGTGTATTAATTTGGAGCACAAGGACAGATTTTTTTTTTTTTTTTTGGAAAGGATCTTCTGATATATATAGATCTTCCCGTAAATAAATTTTTTGATGGGTTATTTGTGAAGTAAATTAAATATAGGGGCTTTAGATTTTTATGGCCTCAAAATACAATGAATTAAGGTCAATTTGTAAATGGCACACGATCTTTTCGAATGCCTTTGCCTTTGTCAGGGTTTTCAGGTCCCCCTGTTTTTTCTTGTTTGTGAAACCCTAACCGTCATTCATCCCGTCGTAATCTAGGATCTCGTTTGGCTCAGAGGTTTTGCCCCTTAGCTTTTCATTGACATCTCCTAATGTCTTCCCCTTCTTCTTTTCCTTCATTTTCTTCTTGTTGTTTGCTCAGGAACTGCTAATGATTTATTTCATCTAATATTTGTAATTGTGCAAAGCTCTCTCTCTCTTACAAACTACATGCAGAAGATAATTTTTTTTTTTACATATATCAAGAGATTGAGGAAGTGATGGAAATCTTGCTTTGGTTGGCAATGCACTATGTAAACGCCGTTTCTATGTCAAGGATTATGAGATGGTCATGATGGATGGGATATGACATATTAACGATAGATCTTTCGTCGTTAAGAAGCGGGCTTATGATTTTCAGAAAGTTAAAGAATTTACAAGGTCTCGATATGGGTGAAATTTTCTAATCTTCTTATGTGATGGCTATGTAAACGCCGTTTCTACGTCAAGGATTATGAGATGGTCATGATGGATGTGATATGGCATATTAACGATAGATCTTTCGTCTTTAAGAAGCGGGCTTATGATTTTCAGAAAGTTAAAGAATTTACAAGGTCTCGATATGGGTGAAATTTTCTAATCTTCTTATGTGATGTTGGTCTGAAAGCGTATATACAAAATCATTACCCCTCATAGCAAAGGGCTTGCGCCTCACCTTTGCTAGGTGATGTGTAGAAAATGTTGTCAGTCAGGGGAGGACAGAATAAGGGGCCAAATTCATGCTAAGTCCCTGACGGACACCCTGATGTGCATGTCTAGCGCCTAGGCACTTGAACCAGCTCTAGAATTCACCAAATTAAACTAGAAAAGCAGGAAAGTAAGTGCCCAAAGCAGAAAGTAGATGCTCAGACCAACGCCAAGGCACCTGAAGAAGAAGATCCTTCATGCCAACAAACAAAATGGATGAAAACTCAGCGCTACCCCCTAACGCCTAGGCGCTCAACACCGACCTTTGAAGATTTTGACGGTTCAAATTGTTCGACGGCTTGTAGGCTTAAATATGTTCTATTTGAAGGATTTAGGGAGTCGGATGTTATTTTCTTACTTAGGTTGAGTGTTTGTGAGAGTGTAGTGAGATTTTAGAGTGTTGTTATGAGAGCAATGAAGGAGTTCTTATAATCAAGTCAAGGAAGGAAATACGTGCGGTGTGCATCTCTAGGAAATAAGGATTGCAATCTTTTCAGGTTCCATATTTCTTAGTAATCAGGAAGGAAATACGTGCGATGTGCATCTCTAGGAAGTAAGGATTGCAATCTTTTCAGGTTCCATATTTCTTAAACTCTCTGTATTTTTGTTTCGTTTTGTTTTATCCCAAGGAAGAATCTGCTATATTATTAGAGGTGATTCCTAGAGTAGCAAGGGATAGTTGAGAGATCTATGATACCACATCTAATGCAGCCTTTAGTTCCTTCGGTAATTGACCTTAAATTAGTTAGGATTTTTTTTAGCTATTTCTTAGGGATTATTTCAAAAAAGAAAATTATCATTTTTTGTATTCTATTTTTGTCTCGAATTGAAAATAGAGATATGTAGATGTAGGTTTTGATTAGATATTATTAAAGTTGCTACATTATTTATTCCATTAATTTCAGTCCAGTTATCATGGTTGATGTTATAATCTTTCTATTTAATTTGAACATTTTTTTCACTGAAATAAAAATATGATAATTTACATAAAGATATGCACCGTCGAATTAATTCATGTATGCTCATATGATATATGATATACATACATACATACATACATACATAACACAACTGTGAGCATCTATCAATACATGTGTGTAATTTACTAAAATACCAAGTATGAGAAAAAGCAAACTTGATTTAAAGAGGAGATTTGAGACGACCTCTTTAAGGCCTTGAGCTCTTCTAGCACATTCTGAAAGAGAGCAAGTAAAGCATATTTGAGAGGTATGATCATCTTTCTTCATACAGGTGGCTCAATAACACACACCATAACATAAACTAAATACAAAAGGTGTTCAATGATAAGTGGTGGCTCTATAACACATGAATATAAAAAGAGAATGCAAATGAATGAACTAAACATCAATAAAAAAATTTAATGCAATATCTACTTTACTATTTTTGTTTATAGAATGAATGTTAGGTGGAGACCCCACATATGAAAACTTGCAAACTAGAGCACATTAACATCAAGAAGATAACACTGGGAAGACACGAGGCCCTATGTTATTTGACACTTTAATTTTTAAAGTGCTTTTTTCTGAGGTTCCTTCTATATATATTGTTATTTGTATGGATTGTGTTGTTGAAGGTGTGGAAGACCTGAAAACAAAGGAAGCCTTTTTTTAGGGAAAGGTATATACATAGCAGACAATTCTTATGTATTTACATATCTCACACCTAAACTTTCATATTTACATGCATTGCATTTTGGTGTTTTAAATTTATGTATAAAAATATGTATTTCACATTTAAAAAGGGGTATGTATGGTAAATTTGAGTGTCATGTGTGTGTAAATATGGCAATTTCAATGTGAGATGTAAATGCATATAAATTGTGTGCTATGCATGTAAATGCCCCTTTTTTTAAGAGGAAATTTTCTGTCCGGACTTCTGACGTAGTTGTATGTGCGGACTCCAATAATATGCCGTTACGTGTGCTACATCGCGGAATTGAAGTGAAACCTACGTGTAGACTCCAATAATATGCCGTTACGTGTGCTACATCGCGGAAGTTATTTCGCGGTTATTAAAGAGAAACCTATTTATTCTACTTCAATAACCCATAAATAATCTCCGCGGTTCCACTTTAATAACCTCGAAGATGTTATTTCAAGATTATTTCTGGGTTATTGAAGTGGAATATATGTATTTCTCTTCAATAATACTGAAATAACCTTGAAATAAACTCAACGGTGTTATTTCTGGTTTAATAAAGTGGAACGACAGAGGTTATTTTAGAGTTATTTAGAAGTTATTTCAGAATTATTGCGGAGCGGATCCAATTTAATATTTTTTAAGTGGACCCGATATAAAACACATGATGATATATTTTCGGGAGTCCGCATGTAAAGTTAAGTCCAGAGTCTGGATATAAAATTTTTCCAACCTAGACTACCAAAAATTATAGACGAAAAAAAATCATTCCACCGGCTCGACGGACAACAAAAAATTTCTATAAATTTTTTTTCTTTTGATGCCCTAAGAGAAATTCTTATTCAAATGACCGAGCTAATGATAAATTATTACGACAACCATATTATTTGACAGTTTGCATTTCTAAACTTTACTTTTTCGTGGGCCATTGAAGCCGTTGAAAAATATGGTTTTAGACCTCTTTCTGATTTTAGGGGAAAAGAAGTCATTTTCTATCAGTTACTCGGATAGAGAGAGACGAAATAACTTCGTATACCTCCAAAATTTATAGTTTCAAGCAACATGCACACACTCCTAAGTTTAGACAGTTTTCCACCAGATTTGGCTACTTGTGATGGCTGCTAGCAAGTCGTGGTCAATTTTTTTTTTTAAATTTGTAATGACTACCACAATTTTTTAAATAGCAACTCCTTCTTCTGCAGCTTCACAATTGCTTCTTAAAATAGAAGCAACTGCCTCAAACAGACCCTAAATAGCTTAAACTATATATATACCATCTTATCAAAATATTCCATGCAAGCTTTACTCTCTCAAGTGTTATTTCAACTCTATAAATATAAACGACAGTAATCCGTCTCATATATTTACATTTCTTACACCTAAATTTTAATTATTATATTTGTACCATCCAAAATTTTTATAGAACATAAAAATATCAATATTTTCTTTTGTAAAGAAAGTGAAAGACACGTTTTGATGTTTATGGAAGGTGGAATGATTGTAAAAATTGAAATTTAGGTGTTAGAGACGTAAAAATAAAAGAATCGATTATATTTATGTAAATCTTAAATTTTTTTTGGGCTGTTTCCTTTTCTTATTTGTGCATGAAGTAATTGTTAGCCTTGGTGGGGAAACTATAAAATGCATCGTATCCCATCATCAATTTTTTTCAACTTTTTAATTGCTATCATTTAATTAGAGTTACCTTGAAACATCGCTAATATTTATATTATAATAGAAAGAAATGTAATATCTATTTTTTTTTTTTTTGTTCAAAACGCTGAAAACAACATTTTCACACCGCATGTGCGGTGGCAGCTTTCTAGTTGCGGTCTGCTTTTTCTAAAAAAAATAAAAATTTATAATAACTACCGCACCTAAACTTATCAGTAGATTATTTTTAATCAATTTATTAACAGATTATTCAATAAGCTGCAGCTACTCCAAACGGGCCCTTAATTAGAGTTACCTTAGAGCCCATGAAACATCACTAATATTTATATTATAATAGAAAGAAATGTAATATCTAATTTCTTTTTTGTGTTCACCGAAACCACATAAACCTTAAAATTTACATATCTACTTATATTTTAGACTACTTATATAAAACCTAACTCTTTAAATCCCATAAAAATTATTACTACAATTTCATATAACGAATATGATATAAATTTAGGTGTGTGTAGAGCTGTAAACGAGCCGACCTTGAGCGAGCTCAGGCTTGGCTCGTGTTCGGCTACTTCGAAATAGCTCGAGTTCGAAATCGGCTCGTGAACAGTGTGTTCGTGTTCGGTTCGATTTAAATATTCGTATTTGTGATCGGCTCGTAATTGGCTCGTTAAACTTAAATTGAGAAAAATATGTATAAAGTGTGAGATTCGAACATGGATCAAATA